TCTCTGGCCACACGTCCAGCATAAACAGCCGCCATCCAAGGAAGATGGGGAGGGAGGAGATTTGGTATGGTTTTGTGGCGATTATAGACATTAGCATTCTGGGGTTTTTTTCACTTTACTTTTTGTTGTTGTTGTTTTTTTGGCCCCCCTTTTACCTTGAGGGGGCTCTTTCTCACCTTACATTATTCAAGAAGAGACAGAAATTGAAGTCATATAGCCAAGCTATAATCGCACCCTATAAAATCCCACCATCCAGGCAAGACCCAATACCAGTTGCTATACACCAGATAGATAGCCAACTCTTGGTAAAATTACTCTGAGCTGAGTAAGAAGAGAAGTGAAAATGGAAGCCCATCTCCTGATCACAGGAGGCAATCAGAAAGCTTAATAATACATCAATATACATTCATCTACGCATTGAAAATACATCTAATTATGAAAATGGCCCCCTAAAACAACAGAAGATCTCAGTATATGTCCAGAAACAAGATAAAGTAGTTGAAACAAATGAGCTGGAGGTACACCTAGACTTCCCATTGGTAGGAGGGCAGGCTTTGGAGCTATCTGAGAAGGAATACAAGGAAATGATATTTAGGTACATCCAAATGCTCCACAGAGGGGTTGAGAAAAATAAGGAAGAAGTCAGGAAAGTGCTACAAGAACAACTAAAAAAGATAGAACTAGCATTGGGAATAATTCAAAACCTGCAAAAGAGGTCCAAATGATTAATAACAAAATATGAGAAATGGACAATACACTGAAAGGACAAAAGAGTAGAATGAAGAGATGGAAAACAGAATCAGTGAGCTAGAAGACAAATCTCTCAGTATTGCTAAGATAGAAGAACAAACATAAAAAAAGAAAAAAAAAATCTGAAGACAGTCTAAGATTCATGTGGGACAACATGAAGAGGAACAACCAGCAACACCACAAAAAAACAAATATGACAGCAATAAATTCATACCTATCGATAAATGCACTGAATGTCAACAGATTAAGAGACATAGAGTAGTAGAATGGATAAGAAAACAAGATCCTTCAATATGTTGTCTGCAAGAGACACACCTTACACACAAAGACAAAAACAGATTAAAAGTTAAAGGATGGAAAAAAGTATATCAAGGTAATTGCAATAAAAAACGAGCAGAAGTGGTAATACTAATCTTTGAAAAAATAAACTTTAAGGCAAAAACCAGCACAATAAATAAAGAAGGGCATTATCTTGTGATTAAAGGGTCACTTGAACAAGACAAAATAACCATAATAAATATCTGTTGTTGTTAAGTGCCGTCGAGTCGGTTCCGACACATAGTGACCCTGTACAGGGTTTCCAGGCAGAATGCCTCATCTTTCTCCCGCGGAGCAGCTGGTAGTTTCGAACTGCTGGCCTTAAGGTTCACAGCCCGATTCGTAACCACTATGCTGCCAGAGCTCCTTAAATATCTACGCTCCCAATAAAAGAGCTCAAAAGCATATAAAGGAAACCCTAATAGGAGTCCTGGTATGGCACTGTGGGTTAATATGCCAGACTGCAAAGCCATTTAAACTGCAAGCTCAGTGGTTCAAGCTCACTAGTCACTCCTTGGAAACCATATACAGGGTCGCTATGGGTCGGAACCAACTCGATGGCACTTAACAACAACAACAATAGGAATGAGGAGTCCTGGTGTGGCGCTGTGGGTTAATGCACAACTACAAAGTCGTTTACAAGGTCAGTAGTTCAAGCTCACCAGCTGCTCCTCGGAAACCCTACACAGGGTCGGCATGGGTCGGAATTGACTCGACGGCACTTAACAACAACAACAATAGGAATGAAGAAAGAAATAGACAAATCTTCAATAGTAGTGGGAGACTTTAAAAGGGGGAGTAGTTAATCTGTCATTTCAGGAATACACAATCCCATGACCATCAAGAAGGAAGAGCATGAGTGGAGTGTGAGATCCCTTCCTGGAAAAGTGGTAATAAGAGAGATGGTGGCAGGGAGAGGCAGAGCATTTGCGGGTTCTAGGCCCATAGACTGAGAAAAACTATATACCTGAGGGCAGGATGCTGACTGGCAGAATGTGCCCTTTGGACATTTCAATGAATATATATATTTTGTTTTGTAAGTATACATCAAACATTTTTGCTTTGTTCATTTGTGAAATTTAACATGCAAACAGGGAGCCATAGGGAGGAAGCAGAATAACTGTTGTAGGGAGGGGAGCCATAATCACTGAGATGAAACAATGTGTATAATTTCTTGAATGTAAAGCTGATGATCTTGTCTGTAAACCTTCATCCAATTCAGAATAAAAAGTCAAAAAAGTCAATAAAAATCTAGGACAAAATTGCACTCGGTAATGGAACTATCCATGAATGAAATAGACATAGTTAAACACTGAATAGCTGACATAAGTATTATTTTTTTGAGTCATGGTGTGGTGCTAAAGGATAAGTTCTGGACTTGTAGACACAAGGTTGACAGTTCAAACCCCCTAGTCTATCTCTCACCAACCTTATACATGGTCACTGTGAGTCCGAACCAACTCGACAGCACACAATATTATTTCTTTAGTCAAAATGGTCAGAAGTTCAATCCTTACTCTTTTCTCTGGATTACACGGCCATTCATATGGGGTCTATCGTTCATCTGTCTGCACCTTTCTTTTTTTTCAGAAGCATAGTGGTATCTGTGACTCCAACTTAGTTTGAACATTTGAAAATGGTAAGACCTGCAGATTTTTTCTGCTTCTGCTGAAATTCTGGCATATTGTGTAATGGTAGGTAGGTGTATTCTTTGATGTTGTCTATAGGTCTCATGTACTTTGGATATGTTATCATGAGAGACAAATCCCTGGAGAAGGACATCATTCTTGGTAAAGCAGAAGGCCAACAAAAAGGAGGAAGACCTTCAACAAGATGGATTGACACAGTGGCTGCAACAATGGACTCAAACAAAGGAAGTATTGTGAGGATGGTGCAATACCAGAGTGTTTCGTTGTGTTGTATATAGGGTTGCAATGAGTGTGAACCAGAATTTTCTATTTTAATTTCCACTTTTTTTTAAGTTATGGCATTAAACTGCACATAATCTTGTCTGATTGCTACTTGTAATTTTCTTGGGAGTGGGGCAGGTTGGGTATTTTGTTTTAAACTATTTTTTATGCAGTTCATCAAAAACAAGAGTCTGTGATACAATTTCATTTCACCATCTTTGCCTGGAAGCATCTGGTTATGCTTTTAAATAAAAACTTTAACTGAAGATGCACAGTATTAACACTTTAGTGTTGTTGTTAAGTGCTGTTGAGTTGGTTCTGACTCATAGCAACCCTGTATAGGGTTTCTGAGGAGCAGGTAGTGAGCTTGAACCATCGACCTTGTGGTTCAAACTGGCTTTGCAATTCAGAGCATTAACCCACAGCGCCACAGCAGGACTTTGGCAGACAGTAAGTAATTAGGAATCAAGAGAAATGGCAAGATTTTAATAAGCAACCCAAAAGTGAACCTCAAAAAAACCAGTGAATGTTTAGAACAAAATGGTTAGCTCTTCCATGGGACTGTAACATTTATGCTGTTGTTAAGTGTTGTCAAGACTGAGACTGTTCTGATTCATAGTCACCCTTATATAGGGTTTGTTGTTCTGATTCATAGTGACCCTTATATAGGGTTTGTTGTTGTTGCTGTTAAGGGCTGTCAAGTCAGTTCCGATTCATAGTGTTCTGTCTAGGGTTTCCGAGGATTAGATGTTGTACCATACCAGCAGTCCTGTAAAAGGTTTTTTGTTGTTAGGTGCCACCTAGTCGGTTCCAACTCACAGCATCCCTATATAGGGTTTCTTGCTGTTTCTGTGAAGTGCCATCAAGGCGGCTCTGACCTACAGAAACCCTGTATAGGGTTTCCAAGGAGCAGCTGGTGAGCTTGAACTGCCAACCTTGCAGCTCAAATAGCTTTGCAGTCAGACACATTAAGCCATAGCGCCACACCATGGTTTAAGAGGCTTTAAATCTTTGTGAGAACAAAAGTTCATGTTTCTCCCAAGGAGTGGCTGGCAGGCTCTAACTGCAGACCTTGTGAGTCACAGTCCAGTGATTATCCTATGGAGCGACAATGCTGCCATTACAGTTATACAAAGTTAAAAATAGTTTTTTAACTTTTAGGTAAATTTCCTTTTCTTTAGACCTATGATTTGAACTATTTTAATTATATTTTGATACTCACAGTCCAAGGCTGTAGATCATTCAGTCCCTTTTCTAATTTCTCAATATCTGAAAACTTTGTGGCTCCATCAGCATCTGCCATAAGTATTTTTTCTCCTCGAGAACTGAAAACACCCTGTTTTTAAAACAAGTAAAAGAAATGTTACTTAAATTAAAATTAAACAAAATTTGACATTTTAGTTTGTCCTACTTTACTTAAAATATTTTAAGAGTGAAATAATAGCTATGAAATGGTAAAAGGAGGCCACTGTTCACTAAAAATAAAATACATTGACAATAGCTTCTCAAATATGCCAATTATTTATTTCATGACTTAAAAAATGTTGTGAGGTCCTACTACAAACACTTAGGAAAATGACAAGATAATATGACAGATTTGAACAAATTAAAGATATTGTGCCTCAAAAGGAAAAAAATTCCTACCATATATTTATTAAGTATATATGATGTGTAAACAAATAAATAAACAAGCAAACACACACACAGGAGGGGATTTCAAAAAATTCATGAAAAAAAATGATACTAAAATATAATGGAATTTTCCCACAAACTTTTAGAAGCTTCCTCATTTATTATCATTGCTGTGGAAAGCATCATAAAATTATAGTGTTTAATATTCATTAAAACGGGACCAAAATATCTTAAATGATGTTGAAATAAGAAAAACAGACTGACTCATTAAATACATGCAAATACTATTTTGTCATTTGAGGCATCTTGATGCTTAGCAAAACTATGCCACTCAATTTTGAAGTGATTGGTTATTTGTACAAATTATAGCTCCATTGTGAGTATATAAGGGGTTTAAAAAATTATGTAGAAAAATTGAATTAAAAATTAAAAAGGTACACTTTATTTGTCAACCTAAGCTCCATCAAGATCAAAACACTTTTGTATGTGCTGATAGCAGCCATTTAGTGTACCCCTAAGAACTGAGGGTGCTGGGAATTTAACATGTTAATGCAGTCTTTTTTACATTATTAACTAAAGAAAAATAGATGCCTTTAAATATTTTTTACAGTCAGGAAGGATGTCAGAAGGAGTCAAACCAGGACTGTAACATGCTTGCCTAATGATTTCCCATAAAAACTCATGTAATATTGCCCTTGTTTGATAAGAGGAATGAGTAGGAGCACTGTTGTGGCAAAGAAGGACTCTTTGGTGGAGTTTTCCTGTCCATTTAAAATTTTTATGCTAAAGCTTTGACTACCTTTCTGAAAATGTTTTCATTATAACACATTACTGTTCTTTGTTCTCCTAAAAGTCAAGAAGCAAAAATGCTTTGAGTATCGTTCTAAACTGTTGCCTTTGCTCTTGATTGGTTCTGATTCATAGCAACCCTATATAAGGTTTCTGAGGAGTGGCTGGTGTGTTTAAACTGCTGACCTTTAGGTTAGCAGTCCAGTGCTTATCCTACAGCACCACAGACGGACGCCCCACATTTATACATACATACATGCATGCATACATACAAATGCATATACATAGGTGCCCTAGTACCACAGTGGGCTACAATTTGGGCTGCTAACTGCAAGGTCAGAAGTTCAAACCCGTTAATCCAAGGGAGAAAGATGACTTTCTTCTCCTATAAAGCTTTACAGCCTCAAAAACCATATACAGTATCTCTATGAGTTGGAACTGACTCCAAAGCATACAACCACCACCAAAGTTAACTGACCAATATACACTTGTAACTCAATGATACTTAATATGTTTGTCTTGCCAGCAACCAATATACACACATCATAATAATTATTAAAAATGTTTCAAATAAATTGAAATGCTGACACTTAACTAGCCAGCAATAGAATTTACATGTCCTACAGTTTTCATAAAAGGTTATTCAAATTGTTTTTTTATTTAGATAAAATGTTGAATAAATGTATTACCATCCTAATAGCTCCGCCTTTCCCACGATTCTTCACCAGTGTTATCACACGCACTTTGTCACTTCCATATTTCTGGCAGTATTTAAAAGCTACCTGTCAAATTAAAGTCAGAATAAAATTAGCTAGATTTCAAGATAGTTATATAAAGCGGAATTCTTACTTTGGTTCAGAAACTGCTTGATATTCTAGTTACCCCTTCCTGTAACTAGATGTGGCACAGAAGAGCTGTAGAATTCCTGATGCAGATGTAGATCTGATACTGACTTAATATGCTGATGTCACAATTCAGTTTTCTTTGGAGGAACCACCAGAATAGACAGTGAGCTTCTTATCTACTTGACTTCTCTACCTAAGCTATCTTGCTGCTAGAAAAAAAAAAAAAAAAAGTTAACTGATAAATACACCCTTGCAATCTTATGATGCTTAATAACATGTTTACTTGTCTTGCCAACAACCTATTTTCTTCCCTAGAGAGGCTGTTCAGATTCTGGGCCATTTCTCCCAAATCTCACTCGAATCCTTCTCTCAGCAGATACCATCCCTACCATTATTTTTCTTCTCTTCAATCTTTTTCTCTCAACTGCTCTTCAGCCTCAAACCTGCTAAAAGATAATGGAATTTTTCTATGCCTCCAGCATCTAGAAGGCTTTCCTTAGAGCTATTACCTTAAATGGTGTCCTGGTGTGGCAAAGTATTATATGTACTGGACTGCTAACCACAGTGACAGTGGTCAAGTCCACCAGCCACTCTCCTAGGAAACTCTATACAGGGTTGCTATGAGTCAGAATTGACTCATTGACACTTAATAACATTATCTTAAGTAACTGTCATTACTCTTTGATTTATAATCAAATCTGTGTAGCAGGAATCTACATTTGCTACCAACATTTCTCTGCCACTAATGTGTTTTTCAATTCATTGTTCCATGGCTCATACCTTTGCTTTTCTACATCCTAGTTCTACTTAACCTCTCCTTCTGACAAGTATTTCCATAGTGTTTGTCCTCCTTCTCTAACTGTTTCTGTTCAATTTTCATCACTGACTCCTTGTCCTCAATTCGATCCTTAAACACTGGTATCCTGGAAAATAGCAAAAAATGATTTGTGAAGATGCATCTACAAACTACAAAAAGGACCCCCCCAGGACTGTTGGCAGCCACTATAAACTGGGAAACAGGCATCGAGTGGGAGCCCTGAAAACATCTTGGGCAGATGCAGATGCATCACAGGACCACTGTACCAGCCAGGTGATAAAGGAAGTGTTCTTTGACAAGGATCCACATGCTCCAAAGTCCTATTATTTGCCACCTCCAATGAAAGCAATAACCTATTGTGGATGCATCTCTGCCCTTTCCTACTGTATGACGTCATGAGAAACTAACATCGCCAAAGTGACTGATAGCAATGGTTGCCAGGTGCATTTCCTCACTGCCAGTTTCATCATGAATTTTGTTCACCAAATGAAGTGCATGGTTAAATAGAAAGAAAAGACAAAACAAAAAAAAAACTCAAAGCACTGGTATCACCCTGAGGAGGCTATGTTTTACAACCCTAAGTATGGGCAACCTACTGTCACGTTCTGTATACTCTACATTCTCATACATTCTCATAGTGGGAGTCATTGGGTGGTTCCAACAACTGCTTATATGCTTATCAATCTTACTTGGTCATCTATAGCCCAGACTTGTCTCCTGTGTCACTTAGATATACATCAAATACAAAAAATGCAGAATTTCATTAACTTCTTCTTTCTGTGCTTTCTACAAGGGAGCTTCAAAAAATTCATGGAAAAATAGAATTAAAAGATAATGGAATTTTTCTATGAACATTTTGAAGTCCCTTCGAATATTCTTTATTGCAGTGAATGGCATTATCATCTGCCAAGGCACTTAAGCTACTTTCAGCATTCACAATTTGCCAGCTACTGAAACTTGTCAAACCCATTTCTAAAATTCCTCTCATCTCTGTGCTATCAACATCACATCTGATTGACCCTGTGGTCCTCATGTCTGGCAGAATCAAATGACAGAAGATAGCAGACTAGGCAGATGCACTACACGGACCCACTGTATCAAAGTTACAAGAAACCACATAAAACAGACACTGATGAAAATTCTCACACCCTGAACTTCAGAAGAAAGGTTAGAGCGGTGGATGGAGTGATTACTGGGAGAAGAGACCAAGCAGGGATGGCGAGAAAGGAAGTTTGAGTGGTGAATGGTGGCCACATATAGCTTGACCATCTTGTGAGCAGCTTTGACAGTGAGGGAGGCCTGGCAGAACAGATTCTCACGAGCAATGGGAAAGGTACAATTTCTTCTTTTTCGTCTGGTGACCGGAAGTGACACGCTCCCATCCTCATCCAACCCCAGCACAGACTGTGCTCTCTCAGAGTTCAAAGCCACTTGGTAGGGTGTCACCTCAGTGTGAGTTGGGGGCTGGCTGTGTGCTTTGGTGTGCTGCTTTAGTGCCTGGATTGAGGTGGGCTCAGCTCCAGACCTACAGAACCTGCAAAGCCAACACACCAGCATTTAACCAGAGAAACTGCCCTCAGCTTCCCTGAGGTCTTAACACACACTGCAGCCAGCTCCACCAAGGGCCCCCACAAACGACTTCTGGATTGTGTGCCCTGAACACAGATAATGCTGAAGCCAATAGGAACTCTATCTAGGGCCAAGAACTCTGTTGTCACACTCCTTTCACAACCACCTCATGAGTTCCTTGAATTGCAGACATCCACCAGCAATTTCTTCTCTTTGGCTCCAATAACCACATGTTTATTTACTCAAGTATGACAACCCCACAACGCCCTGGAGACAACAGGCAATTTTAGCTCATATGAATAAGAGAGAATGGCTCAACCAAATGACCAAGAGGCAGTGCAATGAAATGTTTCTGAAGAAAAGGTAATGGAACTCAAATTATAAAAAATAGGCCAGGCTTACTGGTCAGAAAAAGATTGGAGGAACCCAAGACTATGGCCCTTAGCCATCCTTTATGTCTGGAGTGGAATGCACCTCTTGCCCCAATTTTCAGCTAAGTAGTAGACAGGTTTATGGCACAGCATTTGTAAGCTCTGCATACTATTTAAAATTAACCATGTAAGATTGAAAGGGCACATTTACCTAACGAAGGTAGGGAAGCGAAAGGAAGGAGGGTGGAATGAAAATAAGGTTTAGTGTCAGAAACTCTATTCAGGGTCACAATGAGTTAGAACCAACTCGATGGCACATAACAACAACATAAGTCCCTAGTAGTATAGTGGGTTAAATGTTGGGCTGCAAGATCAGCAGTTCAAATGCACCATTCACTCTGACAGAGAAAGATAAAGCCATCTGCTTCATAAAAGATTTACAGTCTTAGATTTCAAAGGAGCAGAGGCACTTTGTCTTATAGGGTTGCTATACGTCAGAATCAATTTGATGGCAACGGGCTTGGTTTTGGTTATAGGTCTCTGGAAGGAGTCCTGAAAGCACAGCAGTTAAAGTGCCCAGCTGCTAGCCAAAAGGTCAGTGGTTAGAACCCACCAGCAATTCTGCAGAAGAAAGACATGGTGGTTTGCTTCAGGAAAGATTACAGCCTTGCAGTCACCACAACTGAGGCCAGAGAACTGGATGGTGCCTGGTTACCGCTACCATCTGCTCTGAAAGGACTCACATTAGATACAAAGTCCCAGACAGAAGATACAAAGTCCCAGACAGAAGATACAAAGTCCCAGACAGAACCACAGGAGGAAGTGGAGTAAGTATTGGTACATGGAGGGGATTATAATCATTGAGATGAAACAAAACACATGATTTGTTGAATGTAAAACCGATGCTCTTCTCTGTAAACCTTCACTCAATTTGCAATAAAAAGTTAAAAACAAAACAAAAAAACCCACGGGTTAGTTCTACCCAGTCCTGTAGGGTTACCATGAGTCAGAATGGACTCAATGGCAGTGGGTTTATTTTGGGGCTTTATAGGTCCCTGCTGGACCACAAGGTCAGTTTGTATCACAAGGTCGAAGGTTCAAGCTTACCAGTCACTCCTTGGAAACCCTATACAGGGTCACTATGAGTCAGAACTGACTTGAAAGAACTTAACAACAGCAGCAAATGTAGTGTAAACAGCACTTGATTGTTAATATAAAGGTTAGTAAAATGAAACCACCGAGTTGTGCTGTGAAAAACGGCCTAGCCATTAGCTTCTATAAAGGTTATAGTCCAGTTGGCCTCTGTAACACATGGGAATATTATGAGTCCTAGTCCAATTGATGGCAATAGGTTTTGTTTTTGAAACGTTGTTATTTAGCAAGAACATTGTTGGTATTGTTAAGTGCAGTCTAGTCTAGTGGGTTCCAAATCATAGTGACCCTGTATAAATTTACCAAGGAGCAGGCTGTTGTATGTGCCGTGGAGTCGGTTCCGACTCATAGTGACCCTGTACAGGGTTTCTGAGGCTGTAAATCTTTACAGGAGCAGAAAGCCTCCTCTTTCTCCCATGGAACAGCTGATAGTTTCACACTGCTGACCCTGAGGTTAACAGCCTGATTCATAACCACCATGCTACCAGAGCTCCTTAAGGAGCAGGTAGTGGGTTTAAACTGTTAACCTTGCTACTTATCCTATAGCACCACATCAGGAATCCAGCAGTAACACTACTGTTGTTACAAGCTGTCGAGCCGATTCCTACTTATAACAACCCTGCATAGGGTTTCTGAGGTTTTAAATCTTCACAGGAACAGAAAGCCTCATTTTTCTCCCATGGAATGGCTGGAAGGTTTGACCCACACAGTTCATGGTTAGCAGTCAGTGTTTATATATGGAGCCACTGTACTCCCAGCAAGAGCATTGTTGTTGTTGTTATTAAGTGCCATTGAGTCAGTTCCAACTCTTAGCAACCCTGCATAGGGTTTCCAAGTTGCTGCTGGTAAGCTTAAACCACCACCCTTGTGGTCCAAACCGACCTTTCAGTCCAGCGCACTAACCCGCAGCACCACAGCAGGACTCCAGCATGAACATTAGTAGCACCATATATGAAACATCATATTCTAGAAACACAAATTTTAAAGAAGAAAATGTGAGGAATCCTTAATAATAAATATATTTAGCTCTTTGGAGAATAATTCATCAGGGATACGTAATATGTGGCCTGTTCCATAGATCAATGTACCTGGCCATGGCACTTACAGGTCTAGGAATATAGGACTAAGAGGAGAAAAAGCTTTAAGACACTGTTACCTCCCATTGTTAAGTCCAGATGGGGGCATGCCAATGGACATACCTGATACCCAGTGGCATCTATGAAGGCATCTTTCTATTTGCATGACTGCTTTAGAAACTGTAAGACAAGGTGAAGCATGAAGAAAGGAAATATACTTAGAAAAAAGGCATGATAAATTGCTAGGCAAAGAAGGTTCCCTAAGAGGCCAAAGTAAACTGTCATTCTTCTCTATTTGGCAATATTAAAGCTTCCATGCCCTTATGCAGCAATGGAATAGCACATGTACTTCCAGCTGTCTTTCTTTTTTTTTTTAAAGTTTTTATTGTGAATTGGGTGATAGTTTACATGGGAGAACATCAGCTTTGCAATCATCCTATCATATTTCTTCCAGCTTTCTTTAAGTAAGATATCTCTGCACTTTCTACTTCCCATACCATAGCATACGGCATACCTTTAGGGGTGTGTTGTGGCAGAAATAAGATTTTACATTTGCTAAAATATTCTGTATGTCCTCCCTACTGGCAATTCTAAAAACAAACTTATTTACCTTTGTAGTCTGGTCTTTACTTCCATCATCAACTACTATCACCTCATATGTGAACATCGGATCTTTATTCTGCAAGAAACAAAAATATAATACCACAATTTGGCATAACTGCCATCAAAATTCTAATAAAAATTTAAAGAATTTAAAAAACAATTCTTTTAGTATTGATGCATATACATACATACATAAAACAAAAATGCTAACAACATAAAGAAAGAGAGGCAGTGGGCAGGGATAGAGTAGAAAATACTGAGTAAATCTGTGTGTGCTGTCTTCTTCCCCTTACCTTCTTTGCATCACAGTGGGAGAAAGTAGAGCCTTGGGATGCTAAGACATATTTGAAAGAGGTATGAAGTCAGAGTGAATAGTCCAAGCTGACTTCATCACTTCTTAGTCTTATGACTTTAGTAAAGTTTACATTTTTGGCCTATTTGCTCATGTTTCATAAAGGAGAAATAAAACCTAGTCCAAGTGACTGAGAAGATTACAAGTAATAAAAACAGAAATCTTACATATACAAAGGGCTCAATTCCCTTCCTCTTTGAATTTAATTTTTGAGCACATAATAAATACAGTTCCCATGTCAATAAACCATCATTCGTCTGTCAGTTTGTTGTACTGTGGCGTTTGTGAGTTGCTGTGATTCTGGAAGCTATGCCACCGGTATTTTAAATACCAGCAGTGTTACCCATGGTGGACAGGCTTCAGATGAGCCTTTAGATGAAGACAGACAGGAAGAAGGAATGACGAACTACTTCCTAATATTTAGTCACTGAAAACCTTATGAATAGCAGAGAAACACTGTCAGCTATAGTGCTGGAAAATGAGCCCCTTAGGTTGGAAGGCACTCAAAATGCGACTGGGGAAGAGCTGCCTCCTCAAAGTAGAGTTGACCGTGATAATGTGAATAGAGTAAAACCCGTGGGAGAAAAGCCCGTGGAACCTTCATTTGCTGATGGGGCACAACTCAA